CGAGCGGCTCGTCTCGCCTCGCAGCCAACCGGGGGTCGGGGCACCTCGTGAAGAACGGCAACCCCTCGCGGGCAGCCCGAAGGAAGCACAACAACGCGAGCACCGCCCATTCGGACAAGACGATCGCGCGCACAAGCGTGCGCGTACGTTCCGTTTCGGTTGACTCCGCTCGACCGCGTGGCAACCAATGCGCCGCGACGTAGGCCATCGCACTCGGCGTCGGCACGCAAAGGTGCTCCGGTGCCTCGAGGTCCGGCCAGTCCGGAGGGAGCGAAGGATACAGGCCTCGCCGCGCTGCGCTGGGCACCGAGAAAAACTCGGTGTTGTGCCACATATAGGAGAAGTCATCTGCACGGCGCCAGCGCAGCCGACTCTCCCGCGCAGCGTCCTCGCCCCACCGGCCGCGGTCCGCGATGCTGTACCAGTTGTCGAAAGGGCGCGGGAAGGCCACCAAGCGGATGTCCGGCACGACGCCATCGTAGCGCCTGTACCGACCGAATAGGTTGAGGAGCGTGACGTGGTACCGCTCCTCGCCACCGCACCGGACGTAGAGCAAGTCGCTGCCACCCGCGGCGGGTGTACGGCACGGCACGTGTCGCCATCGGGCCTGCCAAGCGCCCGCCCGATTCTGCTGCGCCACGCTACCCCGCCCGGACGGAGTCACGATGGCATGATTCGCAGGGACTGCCTGGAATCGCGCCGAGTCCAAGAGGCGGCGCCGCACGTATTCGTCGACCGTCATCGGGGGCTTGCGACCGGAAGCGCGTCGCCGGGCTCGCCGCCGCCGGTGGTCCATCGAGGACCCGGGCAGCAGCGACCGGACGGACTTGACGCCACTTCTCAGCCAATTCGGCGCGCTGGGGGTCGTGAAGGCCCGCCCGAGCGATAGCGCCGACCCCCGCTCGGCTCGCGGCGAGAGCAGGACAGCCGGCGGTGCCATCGTCTCGCGCACAGTACCGAAATCGGCTCTTGGCGACGCCGTGCCCGCGGCAGGCAGCGGCGACATGGGAGGCGGGGGTAGTACCGCGGGGTACGCCGGACCCGCCTCAACCGTCCTTGGAGCCACACCCTCGGAGGGCAGCGGCGAGGGCCAGGTCGGTCGTTCTTCTATCGGTGGCGCAGCGACCGGATCGGACGCATCAGCTCGCGAGCGCGTCGCGGGCTCGGCCAAATTGGTGGTCGACTCTGTTCCGCCGCGGCGAGCGCGCTGCGGCTGAAACGCGGGAGTCGACCCGGGTAACGCCGGAGCCCTCCCGGGGCTCGACGGCGCACCGATCGGAAGCGCGTCCACGGGGGTGTTGCTGTGGTCCATGGTCGGTCGTGGGAAGAGTTGGGATAAAGGAATGTCGTCGTCTGGGGAAGGAATGGAGGAGTGTTGGTGAAGTGTGGGGGAGTGCTGTGTTGGAGTTGGTGGTTCTGGGGGGTTCGCGTGGGAGGAGACAGAAGCTGCGCTATCCGAATCGGACGATATACCCGACTTATATACCGTCAGGTCGGTGAAGAGCCACGAGGCGTGCTCGTCCGCGCGAAGAGGCTTCCGTCCGGTCATCGCACGCACAGGTTGTGGAAGAGATCGAGGGGACCGCTGGGAAGAAAATGTGGTCGCCACGAGGATGTGGCGACAGATAAGGAAGGGGGTCTGTGGTACAACGACCGATCCGCGGTCGGTGTACAGTAGGAGCGGCCACGCGCAGCGGGCACGGGGCACCGTGGCCCACGTGTAATACGTATGATTACCGAACGGGCGCAGCAAGTGACAGGTGTACGCTTGGGTACACGTGTAGTGTAAGGAACCGTGTGGGGATAATGCGCGCGCAGTGTAATGCAAGCGCGTAGTGTGAGGATCCGTGCGGTGGTGTAATGACGGCGCTAGATTTTCAATCGCGTACAGTACCTGGTCCACAGTAAGTGACAGGTACTGTATTGGACAGGTGTCCCGGGCGTCCCTCTGAGGGGTTAAGACCTGGACACCGTCCTCGCAGTAAACACGGGGGGCAGACTTGCCCCCCTCCCTTTCGCGCCTACGTACTGCCGTTTCGGTATTCTCTCGCGCGTTGGCTTCTAACCCGTTACCGGTCGTCTCCGATCTAGCACCTCGGGACGACTGCGCGTAACCGGCCAGTGTGCCACTCCCTTTTCGCAAGTCCGACCGTTCGGTAACCGCGCGCCGCGCGTCTCGCGTCGCGAGCTCCCTCGGCTCATCCTCCCAGCCTCTCGCCCGCTAGGGTTTGAGGAGAGTTGTACCACACGGGTCTACACAACCGCTGGATGTTGGGCTATTTGGACCATTTAAGCACCATCTAAACAAGGAAATTTGCGCTACGTCGACTACAGTAACCGCGAGTGAGCTGGACAAGTTTGACTTCCTCAAACTGATGCGTGAGGCGTACGAGGCGTCGTTCACACGTGCGAATATAATCTCTGCTTTTGAAAAGGCCGGTTTGTGGCCTGTAGATTCTCACAGACTGTTAAGAACCCCACGACCGTACAGTTTCGAAGACGCGTCCCGCATTTTATCAGTGAAAGAAATGGAGGAAATTCTTGAGCTAAAACGGAAGACACAGGCTCAGGGCATCGGTTTGAGACCAAAAGTTTTAAAGTGTGGCTATTTGGACACATCTAAGGGGCTGAATCTATGCAGTCAAGAGGCGATGAAGCTCGTCAAAGAACAGGAGGAGAGGAAACGCAGTACGCATGCGCGAAAACTTCTTTATGCTGCAGATAAAAGTGCTCGTGAAGCGCTCGCCGTGGAGAGAGTGCGCCGAGAGCGGGTCAAGTTTGAGCAAAGGAAGCTTTGGTTTCGAGTGAAAAGGTACGGGGATCCGAACGTGATGCCAAGAACACTGAAAGTGCGTCGGAGCTTAGCGGTGAGGCGCCAGCTTGAATGCAAGGTGGCGACCGAGTCTTGTTCTTCTTTGCATCAATGAAAAATAAATGTAACGGTTTAATCTCGTCAGTTGAGATGGAAAATTTCAGTTAAAAATTGTGGCTTCCGGTTATGACTCTGCGTTCAAGACAGAGTGGTATCTTGCCTCTGATTGAAGGTGAACTTGGTGCGAGGGGGACTCAATGTAAATATCACTGACGAGTAAATCGGCGTGACGCTGGAACTGGATCTGGCGCAGTTCTTTTCTGCGATGTATGAGTTGGAAAGGCGAGGTCGTGGAACGTTTCCTTCGTATTTTATTATTAAAATGTTTGATATCGTTCAGATTAGGGGGACCCCCCCGAGTATATATATATATATATAAAGCTGTCCTCGCATGAGGTCATCGCCGTAATCATATGAGAACAAGTCCCGGTCAGATAGAAACTACAGTAGCTAGTTCTTGGTGATCTTATCAAAAATCCCCAACATCAACGACTCACAATGGCACCTGTCTAAATTTACGTCGGATGTGTGCTCTGTGCAAACGCTGTCCTACGGTGCCCACTGCAGTGAAACCCGGTCGGCCATTCGGCCCGAGATGCCCATTTGCGTGCAGTTAAAGGCGGTATGCCTTTGGGGAAACGTTGATCCGGCAATAATAATACTGTATTATCGTATTATACTATAAAGTCTTGAAATATTTTAAATGTGTGGTATACGTGTCATGTGTGCCTGTTATATTGCTGTCGGCTTGCTGGCATATCTCTGTACGATGACCCCCATGGTCTCGTATACATAGAGCGTTGCCACATGCGTTGGTATGGTCACCTCAATGCACAAGTGATATGCACAATTGCAACATACATTGAGCCTCTGTGCATGTGATAGAATCCGAGGCACGGGTGGCGTCCCGTGATAGAGCGGTAAACGTAGATGCAGCTATGGAGGTCCACTGCACTCCAAAAGAGTAGAAATTGGGGAAGTGGCACTGATTCTAGAAAACAGTTAAAGACTCTCTCGCTCCCTCGCTGCACTATCAAAACGGGAAGTCCGTCTGTGGCCATGTTGGAATGTACCCTTCCGTCAACTCTGAATGTTCTATCCCATTCTATCCCGTTTCTCCCGTTTCTATCGTTTCTATTCGCCCCCATGTTGTGCTCATATGCAATGAACTCTCTACAGTGGAGAAATGTAGCTTCTGCATTCTGGCAGACATGTCGTCAGCGCGCTCCATGTCGACGGAACAACCGCTTTCCTGTTCTCTTCGCTCGCTGGAATCAGAAATCCAACATCTAATCCTATGCGATGAATACACTGTACACAAACCTCGCGTCTCCACGTCATCAAGGAATGATGCAAGGATAAGACTGTTGCGTCAAGTGGTATTTTTATCAACGTTAGCCAAGTACACCTACCGTACCCCTGGTACCTCCATAGCCCCCCAATTTGGTCTCCTTTTCAGGAAAATGACTGTAAATGCATCAAAATAGCTTCCAAAACTCTGCAAATATGTCTCATGATAGACCTGAATGAGAGCTTTCAAACAAGCCTACATTGGCCATGGTTGGAGACCTTTTGCGACGTACCATCGGGCTGTTCGAGCCTGTTTGGCCCAGAGGCCGGTTCGGGATAACTCCCCAATTTGGTCCCGCGATTTTATGCAAATTTTTTAGCTGTTAAAAAGGGCCGCAAGTGTGTTCGCTGCGTTGTGTGCTGCCGCAGCTTCAACGCCTGTGGGCGCAGACAGAAAGCCAACAGACGCTGTTCGTCCGGCCGCTTTCGCTGTATAATTCTAGTCCCAGTAGACCGCGACACACCGGTTCTCGATAGGGAAAAAGCTTTCGTAGCCCCACTAGCAACGAGCTGGACAAATTCCTCTCGAGCCGCCTTTATGCCTTCATCGCGAACATCTCTCTCTTTCGATGCCCTGGTCTCCGCCCTCATCGATCCGCGCATTTCTCTAAAGCGACTGTGAGGAGCTCTAAGGCCTTGGAGCTCTCCAAGGCCTTAGAGCTCATCATAGTCCCTCAAAGAAAATTTTGTTACGCTGAGTTGGGGTCTTCTCCGAAAACGCGCCCTTTTCCGGTGCTCAAAATGCATGTTTCCGCGGGAGAAGCCGGCATTGGCTCAATGCGTTGGAAAGCTCTAGTCCTCACCTTTAATATAGTGTGGTTTGCGTCACCTGTAGAAGGCGCACACGCGACATAAAAGCCTTTGAAGGAATATGGGACCAAATTGGGGGGGGGGGGCCCAAATTGGGGGGCTATGGAGGTACTGTACAAGCGGAAGTGTCGATGCCCCCACTGGCTGTCCCTTTAGTGCGTGTCCAGGCTCTATTTTAAACAATCCCCCGCACATTGCTTGTGCAGTGCTCAGGGGGGTGGTTTGGGCAATGAGGGAAACGCGCCCGATAAGTATAGATTCGACACCGACGTTAATAGCTGTTGAATGAGGCTTCAAGCCTTGGCTTGCAAGCCATTCCCGTGGTCCTGCTCGGCTGAGACCGCGTCATGTGCCACACTTCTACAGCCGGCACGCACAGATGGAAGCCTGGCGCACGGCCTTCGCGCTATCGATCGTCCTCCGTCGTCTTGTACGCGTCCAGCCTCGAAACGCATTTGTTACATGTACGGTTCGTCACGGCTTCCGCACCGCCATCCTTGCATCAGTGGCACTCGCCGTTGCACCACTTTTCCCTGTTCCCCTGTGGGCACTTTTCGCAGATCTGAGAAAAGTAAGCGCCGCACGAGACGGCCTCCTTGCTATCTTCTTCTATTGGCGGGGTTTCCTTGCTGCCCTCCTTTTTCTTGGCGGGTTTCGCATGTGTCGAGCACAGGAACGCACTGGTCGGCTTCCGAAAGTGCACGCGTCGAAGTGGAAGTGGAATTGCGCGTCGCACCGTGTTCGCACCACTGACAGTCAGCGTGGCACCACAAATCTCCGTGACCCTGCGGACACTCTCCACAGGCGGGGGCCCTGTGACCGCCGCAGCTTGTCGTGTTCGTTAGATGTTTGGCCGTCTCGCTGCCCGGGCCGCAGCTTGTCTCTTGCGCGCTGTGGTTTCCGCTGCAAGTCAAGCCGTGCAGATACATCATCTCCTCCTTTTCGTACACGCCGTGTTGAATGAGAAAATCTTTCCTCTCATGAAAGACGTCGTTTTCATTCCGCCATGGATAGATCCTCTTTTCCGTCGTGCAGTTGGCGCCACAGGCTCGGGCCAGAACGCCGGAGAAGGCATCCTCCGTAATGATGGCGAGGGATTTCGACACAGCGTCAGCAACACAGGCTACCAGGCTCTGGGAAAGCATGTAGCCCCCGCCGCTCGCGTATGTCGGATATTCTTCGAGGAGATTATCAGCTTGCCCCATACCATGCATACAAAGGCCGACATAGTCCGCTCTGCGATGCTCTGCCCTCGATATGCGCTGAATCTCACCCATGTTGACGTATGAGTCGTCATCCGTCTTAAGAACGTGACGGCAGTTTGCGATGTGCTTGTGGATGGCGCTGAAGAAGGTTTGAACCTTCCAGGTAATCTGAGTGTACGATTCCTCCTTCGCGATCCACATAATATCGCCATGGGTATGAAACTCCTGTTGGACGGTCTCCCATTCGCCAGCCAGTAGGAAGAAGACGTCAGTTCGGTTGTATGCCCACGTGCTCCGTATCCAGTCGCGCTTTTCCTGGTACACGCCGACTTTGTTGGCCGACAAAACGCCGGCGACAACGCCCAGTTCATCGTTGTTTCCGCGGGATGCGAGGTTTGTAAAGACAGAGCGGGGGTATCGGTAGGTGACGTTCTGCCACGCCAAAACTGCAACGTCCTCTACAAAGCGAAAGGGCTGCTCGGGGTCATGCGGAGCAAGTGTCGACGTTGCGTTGGAGCGGGCGGGGTCGACGTGCCAGAGATGAGGCCACTGGATGCCGGTGAGGATGTGTTGCACGCATGCTACGGAAAGGAGGGAGACGGCTGTGACGCAAAAGTAGCAGAAGGAAGAGCAGGACCTCATGCGTGCGCTGGATTTGGACGTCGGAGTCAGTCTAGGGCGCACTCATGAATTTGCATCGCGCCCTCGCGTGCACCTACAGTATGTATGCCGCTAGGTCGCGGGCGGACGGGGAGCCGTGAGGGCTGGAAGGGGGGGGGGGTCGCTGTCGGAAAGACAGGCAAAGTGATACCCGTGCGGGATGATCGGGGGCTATCGCAAAAAAATAAAAGAAAAGGGGGGAACAATAAAGGTTAACCGGCAGGACCGGGCGAATGAGGGGAATCGCGCTTTTTATTGTCGTGGCTTCGTTTTTGTTTTTCGCTTATCTTGGCCGGTAGTCTGCTTCGACTCCCTCTGTATTTATACTACTCCCGTCCTCTTTGATTCTCTCTCCATGTTGTCTTGCACTATCACAAAATCCATGTAGGAGAGGATGAACTCTTCTTTGACCTCTGAAAATATTAAATGCTACCGTTTCGTGCATTTTAATAATTTTGTTGAGATGCATTTACTTACTACAGTAAGCATGTAAGACGTCACCGTCAAATGCTATTTTCCCACAATTTGGGATGTTCAGGTAATTAGGGCGTTGTGGTTCCAGGAACACCGATGACCCCCGATCCTCTAGAGAGCGGGCGGCCGGCGGTGGC